CTTTTGTCATCATCACAAATGCATACAAAGCGTTTTCCATGTACTCAAATGGACCCAGCGCAGTCAGTTCCAGGTTTTCACGTGAAGGATAAAATGGTAGAACGTGCCTCATTATGCTCATGATGGGATCCATAGTGAATACAACCAGAAAAGACAGGTCATCTCAACACATACTGCTCTCTCTGCTTCTGCTCTCTCTATTTCTCTCAAAGTGTCTGAAATAGTTAATTTTTTTTACTGTTTTTTTAGTGCATTCTGGGCATTTGGGAAGGTCTCCTGAGGTTCCCTTTTAAAAACGCTTCTAAACGCACATAAATGTGCGTAACCGCGCATTTTTTTAAGCAACGTTTTCCAGCAGTCAGTTTCCATCGTTCAGAAGAGTTTTCCAAATGCCCCGTCTACATGAGCCCTTAGTGATACCCTTGAGAATGGAGATGCCTGAACTCAGTCATTTGGAAGGATGTCCACTTACTTGTGGCCCTATAGCTTATGTGCAGCTGGGACCTGTAGTTTCTCTATTCCCAGGGCCTTCGAGAGTTTTAATTCATAAAAAGTGATTTCAACCTCTGTAGTTGCTCATATGACTAATGCTGGGACATTTTACTTTGCTAGCTTCTGATACATATCCTTATTGCTCAATAATTAATGTTACGACTTTATTATTACAACATCAGAAGCTGACTCCTATCCAAATCAATCAGACTAAGCTTTATTAGGGAAGTGTCTGGAATACTTGGGATTACACCATCAGACTCACCAGCAGGTCACACTTTCAGTGAACATCCTTCCTATGTAAAGTTAGAGAACATCAGATCAGAAAAATCCACAATTCACTTTCTAATATATTTATCATCATACTCATCACAGTAACAGTGGTATACAGAGAAAAAGTCAGCCGTTAGAGAAAACAGGCAGCTAAAGGTCAGTATGCAAACCCTCTCATATATAATATACAATCAATGCAGTGCAAAATAATAAAGGTAATGGCAAAAATTGATAACAAGTATAAATCTGATTATCTCCCTGTTCCCATTTACCTCTAAACTCCTAGAACGCTTTGTCTACAATCGTCTGAGCTCCCACCTCACTGACAACAACCTTCTTGACCCTTTACAGTCTGGCTTTCGCCCCCTACACTCCACCGAAACTGCCCTACTAAAGCTCTCTAATGACCTACTAACTGCTAAAACCAATGGCCACTATTCAATATTCCTACTACTTGACCTCTCCGTGGCTTTTGACACGGTTGACCATCCGCTCCTCCTCAAAAAACTACACTCCTTTGGCATCAGCGACTCCGCTCTCTCCTGGTTCTCCTCCTATCTATCCTTCAGTGTTACCTATAACGCTGCCACCTCCTCCTCTCTCCCTCCCCTCTCTCTGTAGGGGTCCCTCAAGGTTCTGTCCTTGGACCCCTTCTCTTCTCCATCTACACCTCCCCCCTTGGTCACTTGATAAACTGAACTGACAAGCAAATCTGACTACCCCTCACCTCACCCCTTTAGTTTCCACCCATATCGCTAGCCTACTAAGCGACATATCAGCCTGGATGTCACTCCACTTCCTCAAACTCAACCTTTCCAAAACTGAGCTCCTAGTATTCCCCCAAGGCCGCGCCACCCCCACTGACTTCACCATAAATATCGTGAACACCATCCTCAGTCCATCCCCTCACGCCAGGGTACTAGGTGTAATCCTAGACTCCCATCTGTCCTTCCAGCTCCAGATCCAATTGCTGACAAAATCTTGTAGACTTCACCTCCGGAACATCTCCAAGATACGACCGTTTCTAACCTCGGAAACCACTAAGCAACTTATTCACTCCCTTGTTATATCACGCCTCGACTATTGTAACTCCCTCCTCATTGGCCTACCTCATCGTAAACTATCCCCCCTCCAGGCTATCATGAATGCTGCTGCCAGACTCATCCACCTCACTAACCGCTCCGTATCTGCCACCCCACCCCCTCTGCCAATCCCTCCACTGGCTCCCAGTTGCCCAACGGATAAAATTCAAAACTCTAACAATGACATATAAAGCCATCCACAACACTGGCCCAATTTACATCACCGATCTTATCTCTAAATATCACCCAAACCGTACTCTCCGCTCCTCGCAAGACCTCCTACTCTCTAGCTCCCTTGTCTTCTCCTCCCATGCTCGTCTCCAAGACTTCTCCAGGGCGTCACCCAACCTCTGGAACTCCCTACCCCAATCTATCAGATTATCACCTACTCTACTTGCCTTTCGGCGTTCACTGAAAACCCTTTCTCTTCAGGAAAGCCTATCCCGCCCTCTGCGAATACTGGAATCCTCTACTTTTCCAACCAGTCCATCCCCCACAGTGACTACCTACTGTAACACTCACCCCGCCATCCTAGATTGTAAACTCCAAGGAGCAGGGCCCTCTAATCTCTCTTGTATTGAACTGTATTGTTACCCACTATAATGTAAAGCGCTGAGCAAACCGTTGGCGCTATATAAATCCTGTATAATAATAATAATCTGTATAACAATAAATACTAACAAATATTATTGTGACGATACATAAAAAGCGTGATCAAATCAGTGAAATCAATCAATAAAAAAAACTTGATTAACTTCATAGTGGGCAGCACCGTGGCTAAATGGTTAGCACTTCTGCCTGGCAGCACTAGGATAGTTGGTTCAAATCCCAACCACGGCACCACCTGCCTGGAGTTAGCATGTTCTCCAGTTTCTTCCTACACTCCCAAGACATGTTGGTAGGTTAATTGGATCCTGTCTAAATTGGTCCTAGTATGTTTACGTATGAATGTGAGTTAGAAATTGTACACCCCTTGAGGGTTAGGGACTGATGTGAATGTACAATATATATATGTAAAATGCTGCGTAAATTGACAGCACTATATAAGCACCTGTAATAAATAAATACAAATTTCACCAGTTCATCAAATTATATACAAAATAAATAATATAAGTTCGTAGATATATGTGTATAAAGGATTCTATCTTCCACCAGTAGACGTCTGCAGTGCATTTCCTTCCAAATCAAAATTTTCGTTATTTGGAGATTCGGATCTATCCGAATTACAATGGTAACGATTTTAAACAAATCCGAAATAACAAAACCCAATTTTGGCCGAAAATTATGTTGAAACGAATTTGAAAACAAATTTGAAATATAAACATATTGCTGACTATTGCTGATCTCCTTCAAAGACTTAGGGCTTGATTTACTAAAGGGAATTACAGTGCCTTGAAAAAGTATTCGTAACCCCTGAAGTTTTCCACATTTTGTCATGTTACAACCAAAAATGTATTTTATTGGGATTTTATGTGATAGACCAACACAAAGTAGCACATAATTGTGAAGTGGAAGGAAAATGATAAATGGTTTTCATATTTTTTTACAAGTCCACCTGTGTGTAATTTAATCTCAGTATAAATACAGCTGTTCTCTGAAGAAGGTTTTTCAGAGAACATTAGTGAACAAACAGCATCATGGAGGCCAAGGAACACACCAGACAGGTCAGGGATAAAGTTGTGGAGACGTTTAAAGCAGGGATAGGTTCTAAAACATATCCCAAGCTTTGAACATCTCATGGAGCACTGTTCAATCCATCATCCGAAAATGGAAAGAGTATGGCACAACTGCAAATCTACCAAGACATGGCCGTCCACCTAAACTGACAGGCCAGGCAAGGAGAACATTAACCATTTCAAGTCCGGAGACTTTCACCCCCTTCCAGTCCAGGACAATTTTCAGGTTTCAGCGCTATCACACTTTGAATGACAGTTGCGCGGTCATGCAAAACTGTACCAAAATGAAATTTTTAGCATTTTTTGAGACAGATAAAACTTTCTTTTTGGTGTTATTTATTCACCACTGGGATTTTTATTTTTTTGCTATATAAATGATAAATACCAAAAATTTTGACAAAAAGTGTTTTTCTTATAATATTTTGCAAATAAATAATCTTTCTTCATAAATCTTGGCCAAAATGTATTAAGCTATCTCTTTGTTTAAAATAAAATAACCCAAATCAGTTTATAAAAAAATCATAATTTCTCAAACTGTATTTTTACATTTTTTTTTTTATTATATATGTATTTTTTTTTTTTTACACAATGTCACCCTAGCAGTACAGTACTGTACTACTTGTGGAGTTTGATGAAGATTTTTTTTTTTTTTTTTTACACTGATTGCTTTTACATCCATAAAGACTGTAAAAGCAATAATTTCTCCTTCTCTCCTTTCATTCTGGAGAGAAGGTGTATAAATTTGGGCAGGCTGGTAGGGGCCCCAGTGTATTACTTTGCCCAGGGGCCCGTGATACTATTAAGATGGCCCTGCATTGAATTGTCATTCAAAGTGCGACAGCACTGAAAGCTGAAAATTGTATGTTTTTCCTGTGCCTGTGTGGGTTCCCTCAGACACTCCAAACACATGCTGGTAGGTTAATTGAATCCTGGGTCGTTGGTTTGAATCCCATCTACGTCACCTCCTGCCTGGACTTTGCATGTTCTCCTTGAGCCTGTGTGGGTTTCCTCTGGGTACTCCGGTTTCCTTCCACCCTCCAAAGACATGCTGGTAGGTGAATTGGCTCCTGTCTAAATTGTCCCTAGTATGTGTATGTATGAATGTGAGTTAGGGACCTTAGATTGTACGTCCCTTGAGGGTTAGGGACTGATGTGAATGTACAATATATGTGTAAAGTGCTGCGTAAATTGACAGTGCTATATAAGTACCTGAAATAAAATTAAAAATAAAATAAAATTAGCCTGGGCAGGCAGGGGTGAAAGTGCCCAGTATTGAAGTAGTAATTCCTCTTTTCCCTTTTTGTAACTTGATGTTTTTGCCCTACGTATTAGGACACAACGGAGCATGTCAGAATGTGCTGAATTGCGCAAAAATGATACACGTGCTGTTTTTTTTTAGTGCACACCAATGCAGCAAAGGGCTCTGAACTGAAGCCTTAGGACAGGGGTCTCCAAACTGCAGCCCAAGGGCCAGCTGCGGCCCTTTTCTAGCCTTTATCCGGCCCTTGGGGCACTATTCCTTCCACTGACACCAACGATGGGGCACTATTCCTCCCACTGACACCAATGATGGGGCACTATTCCTCCCACTGACACCAACGATGGGGCACTATTCCTCCCACTGACACCAACGATGGGGCACTATTCCTCCCACTGACACCAACGATGGGCACTATTCCTCCACACTGACACCAACTGATGTGCACTATTCCCTCCCACACTGACAACAACATTGGGGCAACTACTATATCCGGTCTCACTGACACCAATGCTGGGGCACTATATCCTCTCCGCACCCTGCACCAACGATGGGGCACACTATATCTCCTCCCACTGGACCCTGCATTCACTATATCTTGACTCCCAGAACCCCGCATTCACTATATCTGATCTCCCAGGACCCCGCATTCACTATATCCGGTCTCTCCAGGACCCTGCATTCACTTCACTATATCTGATCTCCCAGTCTCCCAGGAACCCCATTCACTATATCTGCAGGACCCAGAATTCACTATATCCGATCTCCCAGGGTCTCCCCCCCCCTGCATTCACTATATCCTCCCCGGATCTCTCACTATATCTGGTCTCCCAGACCCTGCATTCACTATATCCGGTCTCCCAGGACCCTGCATTCACTATATCCGGTCTCTCCAGGACCCTGCATTCCCTATATCTGGTCTCCCCAGGACCCCGCATTCACTATATCCGATCTCTCCGGACCCTGCATTCACAATATCCGGTCTCCCAGGACCCTGCATTCACTATATCTGGTCTCCCAGGACCCTGCATTCACTATATCTGAGGACCCAGAATTCACTATATCCCTCCCCCGGACCCTGCATTCACTATATCTGGTCTCCCCCGGACCCTGCATTCACTATGTCTGGTCTCCCAGGACCCTGAATTCACTATATCCTCCCAGGACCCTGCATTCACTATATCCGGTCTCCCCGGACCCTGCATTCACTATATCTGGTCTCCCAGGACCCTGCATTCACTATATCTGGTCTCCCCGGACCCTGCATTCCCTATATCTGGTCTCCCACAGTACACACAACATGGAAATGCAATTATTTTACTAAATATAAAACTGCTAAATACCTTTTCTCATCAGCAGTTGAAACAGTCTTGTGACTTCAGCTGAGCACTGGTTAAAGCTTGTAGGAGGAATTTTCATTCCGCTCTAGGAGGCAAAACCCCTGACCTCTGTCTGACCAGTGCTGATTGGCCCTGTGCTGATCAGATGCACTCCCCCCCCCCAAAAAAAAAAAACCTCTCTAGCAATACACACCAAACTGAGCATGTGCATGTGGCTACAGGTTCAGTCTATCTTATCAGGAGATAAGACGTGGACATTTGAACAAGAGGCAGGGCAGAGAAGACAGGATCAAACTTCCTTTTTACACAATGCATAGGATTAACCACTTAGGTTCCACAGTGAGTATAACAAGCATACTTTACTGCATATACAGACTGATTTTACTGTTGTGGGTTTAGTGACACTTTAAAGTTCACCTTTAAAAAAAAAAAAAAAAATAAAATAGTAAATGCACATTTTTTTTGCAAGTAAACAAAAGTGCATTTACGAGTTTTTTTCTTTTGTAGGAGTCTGGAAAGCATTGCACCCACAATCAGCAGATCGCTGATGCAATGTAAACTGCCTACTCAATAAACTGCCTGCTCATAACTGCTCAGAAGAATCAAATAACTACCTAGAGTGTTCAGCAGCTCCCTGGTAGTTCATTGAAAGCTACAAGCAGGGACGAACTGACAACTCACGGGGCCCCCGGGCAATAGGGATCATGGGGCCCCTGTGTCCTTGCCCAAACTCAAAAAAAAAGCCTATGAAAAAAAAGGTACCAGGGGCATCTCCTGGGGCCCCCTACTAACCTCCCCGGGCCCTCGGGCAGTGCCCGAGTTTCCAAATGGTCAGTCCGCCCCTGGCTACATGCCATCAGCCGCAAACTCCATGAATTAATGACGCAGTCATGTGGGCGGAGCCCTGCATGGCCGCGCTTTTTTCAAATAGTGATGGCGGTTGCGGGGAGAAGATCCCCGGCCTGCTAACACAGGCAGGGGGATCAAGGAGTAGCCAGGGATCTTCTCCCTTCACCCACTATCACTATTTAAAAAAAGTGTGGACATGCTGAGCTCCACCCACACGACCTCATCATTCATTCACAGAGTTCTCTGAATCAATGCATTAAAAACAGGTGGAACCTGTAACATGTTCCCAAAGGTGAACTTAAAGTGGTTGTAAGTCTCAGACATGAACTATGAACAAAGCATATTCCTCTATAGAGTGTGCTTGTCTCTATTAAGAGCAGTAAGTGTCAATTCTGTCTCTTAATTCATTCCTCTGCTATCAGCATGAATCACTTCTGACAAGTTTTCCTGACACCAAGAGAAAAAAGGTGACAGGGGAGGGACCTTCAGCAGATTGACATCCTCAGCTCTGCTCCTGTGAGTTGTGTGAAGAGGGTGGGTCTCTTTCCTCCAATCAGCTCTCAGAGTTCTCTCATTGAGCTCTGTGGAGTGTAATTACAGCTCTCTGCCCCTTTTTCTAGAACTCTCAGAAAAGCTTTATAAACTCAGCATTTTGAACAGATGTAGAGAAAAGAAGACTGCACATAAACCGGTACATGCAGGAAGATTTGTTTCATCTCTGTGTGTCACCTGAGGACAGTCTCTTCACTGGGTATATGTAAGGGTTTACAACCACTTTAAGTTTAATCTGCTTACATTATACTTCCCTGGTTCCTCATTTTCCCCTTCAGCAACATGCTAATGACATTTTTAAATAAAAACCTTTCCATTTTTTATTACATGCCTTATTTTAGATCCAAGTGATGTCATCACTGGGTCTCTGTGCTTCTCTATGCAATGCTAGGCAGATCATGGCTGGTGGGAGGGGCAGGCAGAGTGCTGTGAAGTTCAGCTTCCTGAAAACATCACAGCAACCTGCCTCAGTACTCCTTTCAGTAGCCCTCAGCCCTTATGCAAACTGTGGGCTGGCTTGTGGGAGGAGTTATGCAAGTATAAAAATGCCTTGCTTGGTGGGTGTCCGTTTGGAGGAGTCCATAGCAGACAGCCATAGGTAACACCCACATGTGATGCTGAGCCTCCATGACTGAAATAACTAAAATCCAATGAATGAAAAGGGGTGGCCCAGGGACATCAGGGGTCCATGACTGAAACAACTAAAATCCAATGAATGAAAGGGGGCGGGCCAGGGACATCAGGGGTCCATGACTGAAAAAACGAAAGTCCAATGAATAAAAAGGGTGGGCCGGGGACATCTGAGGTCCATGTTTGAAAGAACTAAAGTCCAATTAATAAAAGGGGCGGGCCAGAGACATCTGGGGTCCATGATTGAAAGAACTAAAACCCAATGAACGAAAGGGGCAGGCCAGGGACATCAGAGGTCCATGATTGAGAGAACTAAAATCCAATGAATAAAAAGGGGTGGGCCAGGGACATCTGGGGTCCATGATTGAAAGAATAAAAATCCATTTAATGAAAGGGGCGGGCCAGGACATCAGGAGTCCATGGCTGAAAAAACTAAAGCCCAATGAATGAAAGGGACGGGCCAGGGACATCTGAGGTCCATGATTGAAAGAATGAGATTCCAATAAATAAAAAGGGCGGGCCAGGGAAATCAGGGGTCCATGACTGAAAAAAACTAAAGTCCAATGAATGAAAGGGGCAGGCCAAGGACATCTGTGGTACAGGGAGGAAAGAACTAAAATTCCAATGAATGAAAAGAGTGGGCCAAGAACATCTGAGGTCCACGACTGAAAGAACTAAACCCCAATGAATGAAAGGGGCGGGCCAAGAACATCTGAGGAGCATGACTGAAAGAACTAAACCCCAATGAATGAAAGGGGCAGGCCAAGGACATCTGTGGTCCAGCGTGGAAAGTACTAAATTCCAATGAATGAAAGGGGCAAGCCAGGGACATCAGAGGTCCATGATTAAAAACTAAAGTCCAATGAATGAAAGGGGCAGGCCAGGGACATATGGGGTCCATGACTGAAAGAACTAAAACCCAATGAATGAAAGTGGTGGGCCAGGGACATCTGAGGTCCATGACTGAAAGAACTAAAGTCCAGTGAATGAAAGGGGTGGGCCAGGGGCATCAGGGGTCCATGACTGAAAAAACTAAAATCCAATGAATGAAAGGAGTGGACCAAGGACATCTGAGGTCCACGATTGAAAGAACTAAAGTCCAATGAATGAAAGGGGCAGGCCAGGGACATCAGGGGTCCATGATTGAAAGAACTAAAATCCAATGAATGAAAGGGGCAGGCCAGGGACATCTGAGGTCCAGGAAATGCCTGACTTACTGCAGCATCTAATGAGTATGAACCTTTCCTTTTAGTGCCTGTCTATACAAGGTCCCTTTAACATCTGCTCAGTCCTATCTAAGGCTCTCCTATTGTCTGCCTTCAGTTTACTCAGAGCTCTTGCTTGCCATCTTGTGGTTTCAAAGTGGAGGCCGCTTTACAAAGCATCCGACAACCTGGATTCCCAATTTGTTTTACTGTAATCAGGTCAAAATTCGATGCCTAGCACTTTGATCTTCTAACGGGGCTCTGGGAAGGCATCCGGGAGCTCGAAACCCTCACCTTCCCTGCCCATCCAGAAAACTTCACATTTGTCGTGATTAATCTTGGAGCCTGATGCCTCCGCATACTGCTCCATCACCGAGACCACCTCCTGCGCCTCACTAGTCCCAGAGATGAAGACAGACACATCATCAGCATAGGCCACGACCCTCAGAGGTGACTCACCAGTAGTGCCCCCCGACACTCGCCCAACACCCCACCATCTAGCCTCCTGACGAAGGGGTTGATGGCAAAGGCATAAAGCAAAGGGCTCAGCGGACACCCCTGGCGCACCCCCGAGCCAACCCCAAAGGGCTGCCCAACCATTGACCAACATGAAGCTCTCAGCCCCTTTATACAGTGTCTGCAGCCATCCAATGAACCTCCCCTCCAGGCCATACCTGCCAAGGAGATGCTAGAGGTACTCGTGATCAACCCGGTCAAAGGCCTTAGCCTGATCCAAGGCCAGCAAGTACTTCCCACAACCATCAGCCTGCACCGCTCCAGAGCCTCCCAGACTGCTAACACCGCTGAAAAGGTGCTCCTGCCCTGGACCGAACAGTGCTGCTGCTGCGCGAAAGTAGACCGCCTGCCACTGACGACAGGCGCCAGAAAATAATCTTGGCCAGAATCTTTCTATCGACATTGAGCAGGCTAATGGGGCGCCAATTCTCAATCATCGAAGAGTCCTTACCTTTTGACAGCAAAATCACGGCTGATTTCCTCATGGAGGGAGGAAGCGAACCCTCCTCTAAACAGCAATTAAAAACCTCCGCTAGGTGAGATGCCAAGCGGGATTTAAAGGTCTTAAAAAATTCAGCTGTTAAACCGTCTGGCCCTGGCGTCTTCTTAATGGCCAAACTATCTATTGCTTTGGCAACCTCTTCCGCCGTGATCTCACCTGTCAAACTTGTAGGCGGAGTTTTATTTTCCAAACCTGGTGTAGAATCCAGGAAGCTTGACATCCCTGCTCGGTCAAGGTGCTTCTCTCTCAAAAGATCCTCAAAAAAAAGCCCTTGAGACCTCCAGGATCCCCGACCTGGATTTCGTCAAGGAACCTGTACTATCTCTCACACCGCT